AGGAATGACTTGTAACAACAGGTTGTTATGGAAACAATGATGATGTCATACAGAAAGCACTCATTACTTCTGGTGGGGATTAAGCAGCAGGAGCAGATAAACTTTCAGGAATCATGTCATATTCATGAAAGTGTCCTTTAGAAAAGAGCAAAGTGAGCAGGGGATACAGAAAATAATTGACAGAGGAAACTGGACTTTTTTTTCTTACATTTTCCATGAAGCTAAAAACTTCCATGATCCACTCACTAAAAACTTAAATTCATACAAGTGGAATCAAGGCTAAAGGAAAACTGCCTTGGCCTTGTACAATCTAGACACTCTCAAAAAAACAATTAAGTAGGTTTCAATTAAATAGGTTTCCCATTAGCTTTTCTGTTCTGGGTCTATTACAATGCTATTTTCTTATTTTTATTAAATATTTCCTCTCTCTTTCCATTGTGAAAATGGGAAAACTTACATAAGATCTTTAAGACAATGGACTACATAGAACAAAGTGAAACTGGTCATCATGCTGTCAAATACACTGGAAATATTGCAGGGGGGGCATTTCTCTGATCTTCAATTCTACTCATCTTTGGTGCCAAGTCTAAATGAAAATTCAGACAGGAGGGCAATTATTTTTATGCGGATGATGTTGCCATAAAGCTGCCATTCCACTCCCAGCCTAGCTACCTTGATGGCTTATACAAATTGCAGGCAATACTAACAGCAACATGGGTATAACTATGCAGGACATAGTATGTCATGCAGTAATACATATTACTCACAACACAAGATCTTACAACACAAGATCTTACTGAAATCACTGGGACAAATACTGCATGCCACAGATCAATGACAAAAAGTCAGTAAAACTAGTTTGGAAAGGCAGTTTACAAAATTATAAAATTATTAATCTACACTGTCTCTTTGTAGCCTTGGTGCATGGGGCAGGTATGAATTCCTGTGAATGTAGTGCTTAGGAAAGGTGTCTGATTGACATTCATAGTGCATGAAGTTCTCTATCCACAGAACAAATCCAACTCGGCCAGTCACAGTGCCAGCTTCCACACATATATGTGCCATTGTACCTCACTGCAGCCCAGGTAGACTCCTTCTGAAGACATTTCAGTGCCTATGTTCATTTACTCCTCAAACTCTCTGCTGAGACCAAGGCAGCAGCTACCAGTCAAGGTGGATTTTACAACATGGAAAGCTTTGTGGAGCGCTGGACTGGTCCCAGGACATTTCACACAGACTGCCAACAGTATCAACTTGAATCCACTACTAACATGGGCTTGAGACACCTTGGTGGTCACTAAAGGGTTCTAGATTGTATGGTTAATCCTTTGAGCTAACCAGGCCTTCCAGTGATACTGTTTTCAATGGTGGAAAAATGGAAAACACTGGTAATATTTTTTCATGTTAATTTAATTTCTCCAAGTCCTTCTATACCATCCAAGTCACTGGAGAGTTATTTGCATGGCACCAACAGTGCACTAGGTGATTTACAGGCAACTATGGACACAGCACTGACTAAACCAAACAGGCGGAGGATAGAAGCGATGAGGCTTAATATAGAGCAGGCTAGAGGAAGGATGGTGAGACACAAAGCTTTCTGAATTGATTGGATCTTCTACTTTTTCCCACTTCCAGTGGTTAAGTCTCCAATTTCTCATCTTTATGCCATTCAATGTTGTAGACTTGGTCACGTCTCCACTCTATAGTATCCCAATTGTTTCATACTTTCTTTGCTTCAAATTATTGTGGCTGGCTGTCTCTAAACCCTCCCACTTTTTGCTACAGCTGTTTTGAGGTGACTAGTACAGAACACCACAATCCAGAAGGGGATGATTTAAGTTATGGTATTATTATATTTTCAGTATTAATTTTAATCTCATTTTGAGAATGGTATTTTGCTCTCCAATATTCTTAAACACTTCATTCTCAAGGAAGAGAAAATAAGTAACCACCTACCTCATATCAATAAAATGATGTCACACTTCCTATCAAACCATCAAAACAAACCGTGTGTGTAAAATTCTCATTTCTGTTCTGTTCCATTTGCTGCCAGATAACACTGGAAGAAATAGTCCCCCCAATACTTGTAGCAAGTACTGTTTCTACAGGTCTTAAATGTATTTTTCATTCCTGGGTTAGGAGAAGACAACTGCCTTTCAGGAGGCTTTCGATACAGTAGTTCTCAACTTTTTTAGACTCAGGGCACTCCTTGGACAATGCCAGCTTTTAGCTTTCGTTTGTTTTTTGACTGTAGGAAAATAATAGAGCAACTCTTCTGTTGCAAAGAACTCAGAAATACCACAGCAGGTCAGAATTTTTTTTAACATTATGGATTCCTATTTGAAAACTCTGAATTTATCTTGTGAATCATGTGTGCACACCTAACAGTGCTAACATTGCGTGGCACCCATGGCACTTTTGAAGGATCTCAAGGAATCTCAGGGCACTGTGGTTTAGAATCACTGATTTTAAAGTATGCCACGGCCCTTTCAAATGATTACCTTCCTGCGTTCTGACTGAGATTATACAACCCAACAGACCTGATAACAAGATTTGGTAACCTTATCTGCCACTTCTTGAATGTCTGTTGCAGCCTAATTAACTTAAATAAGGGTTTTAGTGATTCTTTAATAATACTTCAAATACCTGTAAAAGAAGTTAACATTAAATAATAAGTTTCTCCTAAAATCTATCTAAGCAAGTTTAAATCCAAATAACTGTGTTGAGTATCCAACTGACACCTCTACTGTCTGCTTGTATAGGATAAAAGGTCAAGTTCTCTCTAGGATGCAGGCTAAATCCTCCACAAAACAGGGGCAGCATGTTACAACCAGAGAGCTTATTCATCCTACAACACGTTAATAGTCAGCTGAATAAAAATCTATTCTGACTTAAACCTGGTCAGTAAATGGATATGTGGAGCCTTTGAAAACCCAGCTGATTACATGTAGTTTCTTCTGTGAGGAAAGTGCATATCTTACAACTACCAAGGCAGTTTTGGGGCATGTTACTGCACTATATTATGTATTCATATATATAAACATCTTACTGGTATTGATAAAAATTAAGTTCATAGAAGAACTGTACTTAAATGTGGGCAATGCATGAATATACCTTGGCTGGCCAGCTGCAAAGTGCTGCCTTTTGCCATCAGGTTGAATTACACGTATATGTTCCCATTACCATGTTATATTTATACTCCATTTAGCTAGATACTTGCACAACTTGCTGCCTATAGTTTCAGAGTGTTTTTCCATCTTTAATG